CCGTCTGTGAGCAGGCCTTGGCTGTGACTCCTGTGGTCACGGGAGACTTGAAGGCAGGGAAGGGGGAGGGCGGGCAGTGGTAGGACCCGTTCTGCGTGCACCGTGCTGGGCACCTGGCCTATGTCCGGGTGCAGGGGCGTCTGTCGGAGTGAAGAAACAGAGACAGCGTCAGGGTGGCCCCATATCTGCCCTTAGCAGCTGAGCGACTTGGGCCCGTCTCGTGGCTGGAAACCCGCAGGCCACCCTCCCTGCAGGCTTGGGCCGCCCAGTGCTTTTAAAACTCTTGCATGTGTTGCCAGCGAAAGGCCAGCGAGCTTCACGGGTGGTTTCTGGGTTCTGGAGAGATCGGGAGGTGTGACGGCACGGGGCCGGCTGCCTCAGGCAGCTGGGGTTCCAAGGAGTCGTGCCTGTCCGGGGGTAGGGGGCTCATGCTCAGTTCACAAGCCTGCCTGGGCCCAGGAAAGAGGAGTCGGGGGGGCACAGGCCCGAGCCACCCGCCGGGGCCCAGCAGTCAGCACCAGCCTGTAGAAGGAAGGCAGCCCCCCTCAGCTCTTCCCGTTGGGGGGGGGGTGACGCTGTGGATGCACCTGCTGTCTGCCCCCTCTCTAGCAGGTGCTTTCCTGGCACATTTCCTGGAGAAGGTGTGTTCGGCCCCCAAAGGTGGATTCTTCGGGAAGCAGCCCCCTGAATGAGAGCGCACGGAGGTGCTGTCGGCAGGACCACAACGCCCTCGCCCCATGGCCAAGGCCAGAACACCCAGAGGTGTGCTCTGCCTTGTGGGTTGGTGTGGACCAGCTGCTGGCCGGAGGCTTCTCCTGGACCCTCAGCGCCTCCACCCACCCATGCCGGGGCCGGGCCTGGCCTGGAGTATCTAGCACGGCCCACTTAACCCTCTCTTGGTCGGCGTAGGGGCTTGGGCTTCCCTTGTTTTGCCGTCCTGGAGTGCTGGGAGCTCCCCAGTAATCGTGGTCGCTGAGGGAGTGCTCCCGAGTGCCGAGCACGTCATCCACACGCAGCTCTGCCACCAGGTGCCCTCTGCCTCCTTTCCCGTGGGGAGGCTGGGGGGGCCCCGGCAGTGAGGTCCAGGGTCACACGGAGCTGGCCCAGGAACCCTCGGGGGCCTCCCTCCTCTTCTGGTCCTACACCCAGGCCTTGGCCTTCCCAAGTGCAGCCCAGACATCAGTCGTAGCGTCTCTTTCTCTGAGAGGTTCTCCCTCCCGTCACCCGTGTGGATTTCCTGGGTCCTGGCTGTCCCGGGTTGTGGCCCAGGGCCCGGGGTGGTCACAGTAGTGCTTTTAAGATGCCGTGCTCATTTATGGGGGTGATTCTCTCACAGAAACGTGTTCTCCTGCCCCGTTGGTCCGGCCTGGTGGGGTCAGGAGAGCGGCGGAGAGCTTGTCACACCCGCTGGGGCCTCTCCCGCTGCCCCCTTGCCGTCCTGCCGCAGCTGCTGTCTCGCTGCCCCACCCGGCCAGGGACAAGGACAAAGACAGCCGGCCGTGCACCTCCTTCCTCCAGGCACCTCCTTCCTCCGGGCTGGTGTGGGCAGGGCCCCCAGACAGCAGCCGGAGGGGGCAGAGGGGAACCCACCGCCCTGGTCCCGGTTGGGGTGAAGAGTGCACAGGGCCGGGGAGGGGAATCGTAGGCCCCTCTGAGGAGGGAGGGCGTGGGGGTTGCACAAAGCAAGCCTGTGTGTCCCCTGAATGGGCGGCTTTATCCTGGGCCCTAACAGGCAGGGCCGGGCCCTGGGGAGTCAGACCAGGCCGCCAAGGCCCCGGAGCAAACTGTCTGGGGAGGCAGGAGGTGTGGCCACGGTCGCTGGGTCTGAGGCCTAACCCAGGCCTTGCTGCCCGCCCTCCTGGCAGGAAGGTGAGGGTGTCCCTCCTGTGGGTCCAGGCTTGGTGATCCGTCTCCTGCTGGGCAGGGCCCAGCCCTCTCAGCACTCACGAAGTCTCACCGAAGTCCCCGGCCGGTTCGTCCGCCCTCCGGGGCCCTCCAGGGCAAGGTGGGTCGCACTCCCACTTGGGAACCAGAGCCAAGGCCCAGGCTCCAGGTTGAATTCCTGGGTGCAGAGGCCAGCACATGGCTGACTGGGAGGAGCTGGCACGTAGGGCCCTTGGGCTGAGAGTCTGTCACTCGACCTCTGGACCTTGCTCTCCTGGCCGGTGAGATAGAATGATGAAAGGGCCCGAATGTACGCTCAGCCCTGAACAGGGATTCTCAGCCCTGGTGCTGTGGACCCGTCACTGCCTGTCGTGGGGCATCCCCCGCGCTAAGCAGCCCCCACCCAGTAGATGCCCGAGGGCCCCCAGGCGCGACAGCCGCCAGTGTGCACAGAAGTCGTCCCATGTCGCCCGGTGGGCAGGCTCACCCGACTTCATAAGAGCCGGAGGTATTAGAGGCGTAATCCGTAAACACCGGTCCAGCCGGGCACACAGAACGTGGCACGAGAGGGCGGGCATCCTGGGGCACTGGTGTGCCGGGATGGGGTGGCCAGGGCTCCGGAGAGGAAGTTGAAGTGTGTGTGTCGGGGGGTCCGGTGTGGACAAGCTTCCACCGTTTTGCGAACAGTAATCTTCCCACCTAGGATGTGTTGCTTTCCTGCTGGAAGCCATAGGGAAACTGAGGCAGGAAAGGCTGGCTTTTGCCCGGTTGGAGTTTGGGTGGTCCAGCGTGAGGGCCCAGAGCCCTTGAGGCCACACCACGTGCAGCCTGTTGCCCCCCCCCCCACCCCTCCAGCCGCGGTCTCTTGGAGGAGGAAGCGCTGAATCTGTGCCTTGAGCTTGAACCTGTGCCCCAGGGAGCCCTCAGCTAATTGCTCGTTAGCAGCAGGAGGTGGGGGGTGCTGCCCCCCGTGGGCAGCCGTGGGCTGGGCGAGGCCGGTGGGGCCGGGCCCCAGTGCTGCCGGCCGCTGCCCCGTCTGCCCCGTCACCCCCCGGGTCCCCGGCGGCCCTGGGCGCTGGCACCTCGCCCGTGGCTGGGGGCTCTGCTGGCACCGGCCGCGGCCAGCTGCCGAGCCGCCTCGACACGGACCCGCTCGAGTCAGCAGAAACCGCCCCGGCTCTGGCAGGATCAAAATAACCTTCTTCCTTTTCCAGCACTTGAGGGTTTTTCCGCCTTCGAGGGGAAAAACAAAACAACATCAAAAAAAAAAAAAAAAAAAAGAAAGAAAGAAAAGAAAAGAGAATGGCAGCATCTGCAGGCCCCCGGAATGTGGTTTTTCTGAGGCTTCTCTCCTGAGAGCTGGGGGGTGGGGGGCATCCTCACACATTCCTATCTTGTTGGGGGGTGCGTGTGTTTGTGATAAATGTTGGGGGGTATCTGTGGTGTTTATGTTTGTGTGTTTTCTGTGTTTATTTGTATTTGGGGGAAGGTGTGTGTGTCTGTGTGTGAGTATTGGGGTGTGAATGTGGGGGTATGAATGTTGGGGTGTGTGTCTGTGGTAAGTGTGAATGTGGTGTGTGAGCATTGGAGTGTGGGTGTTGGGTGTGTGAGCATCGGGGTGTGTGTGGTGTGGGTGTTGGGGTGTGTGAGTGTTATAGGGTGTGTTGGGTGTGTGAGCTTTAGGGTGTGTGTCTGTGATGAGTGTTGGGGTGTGAGCGTTGGGGTGTATGAGTGTTGGGGTGTGAGCGTTAGGGTGTGTGTCTGTGGTGAGTGTTGGGGTGTGTGAGTGTTGGTGTGTGTGAGTGTTGGTGTGAGCATTGGGGTGTGTTGGGGTGTGAGTGTTGCGTGTGTGAGCATTGGGGTGTGTGTCTGTGGTGAGTGTTGGGTGTGTGAACGTTGGGCTGTGTGTATGTGTGAGCGTCAAGGTATGACTGTTGAGGTGTGAGTGTTGGAGTTTGTGTCTTGATGAGTGTTGGGGTGTGAGTATTGGGTTGTGTGAGTGTTGGGGTGTGAGTGTTGGAGTTTGTATCTTGATGAGTTTTGGGGTGTGAGTATTGGGGTGTGTGAGTGTTGGGGTGTGAGTGTTGGAGTTTGTGTCTTGAGTGTTGGGGTGTGAGTATTGGGTTGTGTGAGTGTTGGGGTGTGAGTGTTGGGGTGTGAGCGTTGGGGTGTGAGCACTCGCGTGTGAGTGTTGGGAAGGGAGTACTAGGATGTGAGCATTGGGATGTGTGAGTGTTGCAGTGTGAGCATTGGCGTGTGTGAGCGTTGTGTGTCAGTGATGAGTGTTGGGGTGTGAGTGTTGGGTTGTGTGAGTGTTGGGGTATGAGTGTTGGAGTTTGTATCTTGATGAGTGTTGGGGTGTGAGTATTGGGGTGTGTGAGTGTTGGGGTGTGAGTGTTGGGGTGTGAGCGTTGGGGTGTGAGCACTCGCGTGTGAGTGTTGGGAAGGGAGTACTAGGATGTGAGCATTGGGATGTGTTGAGTGTTGCAGTGTGAGCATTGGCGTGTGTGAGCGTTGTGTGTCAGTGATGAGTGTTGGGGTGTGAGTGTTGGGTTGTGTGAGTGTTGGGGTGTGAGTGTTGGAGTTTGTGTCTTGAGTGTTGGGGTGTGAGTATTGGGTTGTGTGAGTGTTGGGGTGTGAGTGTTGGGGTGTGAGCGTTGGGGTGTGAGCACTCGCGTGTGAGTGTTGGGAAGGGAGTACTAGGATGTGAGCATTGGGATGTGTGAGTGTTGCAGTGTGAGCATTGGCGTGTGTGAGCGTTGTGTGTCAGTGATGAGTGTTGGGGTGTGAGTGTTGGGTTGTGTGAGTGTTGGGGTGTGAGTGTTGGAGTTTGTATCTTGATGAGTGTTGGGGTGTGAGTATTGGGGTGTGTGAGTGTTGGGGTGTGAGTGTTGGGGTGTGAGCGTTGGGGTGTGAGCACTCGCGTGTGAGTGTTGGGAAGGGAGTACTAGGATGTGAGCATTGGGATGTGTGAGTGTTGTGTGTCAGTGATGAGTGTTGGGGTGTGAGTGTTGGGTGTGCAGGGAGGGTGAGCGAGCGCTCACAAGGGCTGGGCCCTGAGCCCGTGGCCTGAGTCGGGGTCCCCCAAGGCTCACGCGTCTCCCCCCGTCTTGCAGCAGAGCTGGAGTTTGTTGAGATCACCATCATCGTGGTGGTGGTGATGGTGATGGTGGTGGTGATCACGTGCCTGCTGAGCCACTACAAGCTGTCTGCGCGCTCCTTCATCGGCCGGCACAGCCAGGGCAGGAGGAGAGAAGACGCCCTCTCCTCGGTAAGTGCCCTGCCCCTCCCGTCGGCACGGGGACGGGAGGGCGTCCGAGGTACAGGCCCGATGGGACGGGCGGAGGGCAAGGTGCCCGGGGTCCTGCCGCCTTGGCCCAGACGGGTGGGAGGTGGCCCTTCCCTCTTCTCAATGGCGCGCAGGCATCTGGGCCGGGACCCACAGTGTTTTGGACACCGCAGGTCACCCCGGAAAAGCCCTCCAGCCCCAGGGGCCCTGGCCACTCCACCCATGAAACGGGGCTCCCGTTGCCACTCGATCGTGCCGCTCCCCGGAGGCTGCGGGCTTAGCGCGGGGCGAGAGGCCGAGCACTGCGGGCCGGGACGGTGCAGGCTCTTCCGTCCCCTCGGTCGCTCGTCCATCCGTCCCTCACCCGCCCGTCCGTCCCTGCCCCCCGAGAACGCCAGGGGGGTGAGTTTGGTCAGGATGAGCCTCTTAGGCCAAACCCTGAAGGAGGAAGTGACGAGGGGTCCAGGCAGGTGAGGCAAACGCTGGGCTGGGAGCGTCCTTGCTGTGAATACTGCATTTTGGTATCTTACTGGAATGGTGAGCTTCACCCGCATCCTGGAAGCCCCAGAAGTTGCCCCAGAAATTGCCCCTCAAGACTCCACAAAGTGGGGGCCCGGCGGGGGCGGGGAGGCCTGCCTTTCTGCAGCTCTGAGCGCTGGGCCCCTGCTCCCTGCACCCTGGGCGCTGCACTGTGCCCTGCCGCTTGGCACCCTGCAGCCGGTGGACCGAGGTGGGGGCGCAGCTCACCCCCGAGTGGTTTCTGCCCCCACACGGGCGCTGTGTGACTTCGCCTGGCAGGAGCAGGCTGTCTGAAGGGCAGGCTGGGATTTGCAGGGAGAAGCTGACACGGGGGTGGCCCCAGGGCCGTGCCCCGAGCACACCTCTGAGCCTGGGAGGACAGCGACAGCAGGGGGGGTGGCACCGGGGGTGGCCTCCCAGGTCTGGGGGACGGCTGCCCGGGGTTGGTGGCGGTGCCCAGAGCCTGCGGGGCTGAGCCGGGTCAAGCCGGGTGCCTGGCAGGTTTGGGCGTGTCCCCCCAATCAGGCTGCGGCGCGGCGCGGCGGGGCGGTCAGCAGGTGGCCAGGGCGAGGAGCCTCCGCTGGGTCCCCCGGCCCGAGGCTCAGTGGGCATCCGGAGGGCACTGGGCGCCGCTGCTCCGGCCAGGGCTCACCCATGTGTCTGCTGTGCCTGTCCCCCCCGGTGGCTGTGCCGAGGGTGTGCCTCCCCGGCTCACGGCAGCCCGGAAACCCCATCCCACGGGGAGAAACCGGGGCCCAGACAGGTGGGCGTGTTGGCCTGAAGCCGCACAGCTTGTCAGCGGCGGTGCGAAGAGCCCCGGCCCCCTTGTGCCACCTCACATGCTGGGGCAAAGGAGAAGATGCGAGCCGGGTGGCCCGTGCCCGGGGTGGGCCTTCTCGCCCTCTGAGCCCCACTCAGCCAGACGGGTGGAGCTGGCCCTTCTGCTGCCTGCCCCTGGGTGTGGTCACTGAGGACGACGCTCGCCCAGCGGGCTGGGGGCGTGGCGCAAGTTCCAGCGTGAGGGATCCTTGCTGCCACCGGGGGCAGGGAGACAGCCCCGTGGGCAGCACCTGGGACTTTGTGCCCAGACAGAGGGTTAAGATCCTGGCCCTGATTCCCAGACACCTGGAGCCACAAAAAAGTCCCCGCCCCATCTACCCAGCCACCTGCATGGGCCCCTGGGGATGCCCGGCTGGGTAAACACAGCCTCGTTAGGCCTGCAGCAAGTGTGGCAGCTCCCTTGGGGACCCCTCCCTGCCAGACAGCGTGCGTCTCAGGAGTCTCAGGGCCCCGTGACCTCCCACAGACACCCCAAACCTGGGCACTCTCCGCCTGGGGCCGGGCCTGCCCCTGGCCTGACTGTCCTGCCTCGGTTCCTTTCCAGGGGGACCCCATTTGCTCATCTGTCCGAGAATAAGGCTCAAGTGCAGGTACGCCACTGGCCCTAGAACGTCACTTCCCCGCCCGGGGCTGTTCCCAGGGAAGCCACACTATATTGTGTTGTGCTAACAGCAGTGGTGATCTTGCCCTGACGGCGGCACGGAAGATGGGTCTGCAGGGGCTTGTCCTGGAGTTGGCGGGTGGGGGGATGTGCCCTGTGAGGCAGGTACGGTGCCACCTGGCACAGGTAAGCAGGTTTATAGGTGCCACCAACCCCACCCAGGAAGCCTCCTGCTCATTTCTGAGCTGCTCCTGGGTCCCTGAGGTTTGTTTTCAAACATTCCCTGCTTTGAATTCCTCCCCGTAGCAGCTTTAATTATTCCCCCAAAGTTTATGCATCTTAAACAGCGACGGTCACATCACCCATAGGTCTCTTGGAAGACGGTTTGTGCGTGAAGCCTGCTCAGCGTGGGGCAGGATGGATTCAGACTAGAGGCTCAGCCAGGAAATTGGATGGGGCAACCCTTTGTTCATTTTGTCCCCAAATCAGCCCTGGCATGGGTCTCCCGCTTCCCGAGCGGCTTCTGCAGGCACAAGGCTTCTAAATCAGGGACAGGGCAGCCAGCTGGACGTTCGATTACTGTACAGTGAGCCAGGCCGATATAGGAGCTGAGATGCCATGGGAGTCTGGGAGGCAGGGGTGGTGGTGGGTGGTTCCTGGAAGGCTCCCTGGAGGAAGAAGTGACTTCCAGGTGCACACGTTGGAGGTAGTCAGCTGACGAGGTCTGGTGGGTGGTTTGGGGCTCTATGGTGGGGCTCCTGGGGCGTTGGTGGGTGTTTCCTTAAGCTTCCTGGGTGGTGCCAGGTAGCTAACCACTCTGTTGGGACTGGGAGTGGGGGTGGGGGCAGTGGTGGGAAGAGGTTGTTGGCCACGTCATGCAGAGCCCGGGACAGAGGGGCTCGTGTAAAGGTTTTAGGCAGGAGTGTATCTGGGTCACCTCTCATCCAAGCTGGCCTTAGCTGCATGCATCCACCACCCGGGGCCCCTGACCCTAGTGAGGAGCGGGTGGACGTGCCCATTGGCTTCCTGGCACGCACATGGGCCATGCCAGTGGCCTGGCCCGGGGCTACACAGCCAGGATTGGCCTGAGCCCAGGTGGGTCTGGAAGCGAGCAGGTGAGGGTTTGGATCCCAGCACGGCCTCCTACCAGCTGGGCCCACTCAGCTCTCGGTGCAGTGTCTGGCACCGAGACGACGATTGATAACATGACTAATATCAGTAACAAAACGGCCTTTGACCACGCCAGCAGCAAGGCTGTGTGGCCGCTTGCTGCATCCTACCACCTGGAACCTACTAGAGACCACAAGGAGTGCTCATGGGTGCTTTCCCGGTGGGACCGTTGTGAGAGCCACAGAGCCCCCCAATGGCCATGTAGGCAACTGCACTTCTCTGGGCAACCAGCCCCCTCTCCAGGTCACCCTCCGGCCCCAACTGGGTGAGAACGGGAACCCCCAGGATAACGTGCCCCGAGGAAACCTTTGGAGCGCTAGATGTTTTGATTGTAGTCACGGGTCTCTGGTGTATGCACATACCAAAACCTAACCAAATTGCATACTTTGAATATGTACAGTTTATTTATTTTTTAAAGATTGTATTTATTTCGTGAGAGACACAGGCAGAGGGAGCAGCAGACTCCCTGCAGGGTGCCCAATGAGGGACTCGATCCCAGGACCCCGGGATCATGCCCTGAGCCGAAGGCAGGTGGTGGCTCAGCCGCTGAACCACCCAGGCATCCCTAGGTACAGTTTATCTCCATCTCTAGAAAGCTGTGAAATTCAGAGGCGACATCCTTCCCCCCGGGCCCAGGGCTATCTGTCACCACATAACCAGCATTGTCTGGGTTTGCCTCTCAGACAAGCTGATCCTGGTGTGGGGTCCCACATGCCTTGGGTCTCTCCCCGAGGCCTGAGAAGGCACGTGGCATGTCCCCAACTCAGCCCATGCGGCCCGGCCACCCATGGGGAAATCTCAGAGCAAGAGGGTGTGAGCTTCCTGAGGTGGCAGCTACACACTTGGTATGGAAGCGGTACCACCTTCCGCCTTTGTTGACTGACCCCATCATTATTTGGTGGCAGAGCAGCTGCATGGGGGCATTCAGCTCATTAACTAACTTTGTCCAGTATTTCTGTACCCGTGAACTGGGCTCCTGGTATACAGGTTGAGACAGGCTGTAAAGAGGTAAATAAATAGAGACAAGTTGGTCACAGGTAAGAGAGCTGCTGGGAAGGAAGTTAGCCCATGCCAGGATTGTAAATGGGGGCAGGCCCTTTAGACGGCAGTGTCAGAGGAGGTCTGCGGGGCTGTCGGTGCAGTGGGACGGCCAGTGCAAAGGCCCTGAGGTACATGCATGACCCTTTGCACTAGAAGGTGCGTCAGCCTGGCCCCCAGCACTTTCGTGTAGTCACAGAGGGCCACGTGCGCTCCTTGGCATAGTCTACCCCTCAAAAGTTCTGGAAGTTTAGTAACTTGCCAAGATCACGCTGCAAGCACGTGGTCCAGGTCAAGGTCGGGAGGGCCAGGTCTCGCCAGGCTTCCTCATCAGCCTAAGGCACGCGGGCAGCTGCTGGAGGGTCTTACGAAGGCGGAGCCTACAGGTCAGCTGTAGGCGGTTGGGGTCACATCTGAGAAGTGGTGAGGGCCCCAGGCCGGGGTAGCAGGGTGGGGATGGAGGGTGGCCGATGGCTGCCAGATGCGACTCCAAAGAGAAGATGTCAGGCTCAAAGCCAGTTGACCCTGTGTGCGCTCACCTGTGCTCAGCCTGCTGACCCTGCCCCTCTCGTCCCCACACAGGAAGGATGCCTCTGGCCCTCCGAGAGCACGGTGTCGGGCAGCGGAATCCCGGAGGTGAGCCCCCCGCGCGGCCCCAGTCCCCTGCCCACTGCCCCCCCGCCCCCCGGGGTGCTGTAATGGATGCCTCCGGCCATGCTCCCGGCGAGTCCCCTCTCCAAGCCGGAGTCGCCTCCCCTGGCCGCAGGAGTGTGGCTGCCAGGCTCACCTCCGTGCCCTTCTCTGAACAATTGTCCTTGGCTGCTAGCACCGCCCGTGCCAGCCACTCACCCTCTCCCACCCCGCAGTGGGGGGCCCACAGGGTCCGCAGCGTGGAGGACACAAGTTGCCCCTCTTCCAACTCAGTGATGAGGATCCCAGCCAGGGCTCCCCAGTGCACCCCTCCCTCCCCCCCACCCCCAGAGAGCAGAGGGTCCCCGCCCAGGCAGCCAGACCCCACCGCCTCGGGCTGCTTCGGGGTGGGGGGCCCTCACTCTGCTCTGCCCCCGCAGCCGCAGGTCTATGCCCCTCCGAGGCCCACCGACCGCCTGGCCGTGCCCCCCTTCACCCAGCGGGACCGCTTCCACCGCTTCCAGCCCACCTACCCGTACCTGCAGCACCAGATCGACCTGCCGCCCACCATCTCGCTGTCGGACGGGGAGGAGCCCCCGCCCTACCAGGGCCCCTGCACCCTCCAGCTGCGGGACCCGGAGCAGCAGCTGGAGCTGAACCGCGAGTCGGTGCGCGCGCCCCCGAACAGAACCATCTTCGACAGCGACCTGATGGACAGTGCCATGTTGGGCGGCCCCTGCCCCCCCAGCAGTAACTCGGGCATCAGCGCCACGTGCTACGGGGGCGGCGGGCGCATGGAGGGGCCGCCCCCCACCTACAGCGAGGTCATCGGCCACTACCCGGGGTCCCCGGCCTTCCAGCACCAGCAGAGCAGCGGGCCGCCCTCCTTGCTGGAGGGGACCCGGCTCCCCCACGCACACATCGCCCCCCTGGAGAGCACAGCTGCCTGGAGCAAAGAAAAGGATAAACCGAAAGGGCACCCTCTCTAGGCACCCCGGGGCCGGGGCAGCGGTAGGGAGAAGACAACACGCTCCGCACCTCTTAGACGAGAAGACAGAGGAGGACCGGGCGGCAGCCACCACACGCGGCGCGTAACCATCCTCTCCCCCCTCTCTGTGTATAAATATTTACATGTTCTGTGTGGTCTGAATGCACAAGCTAAGAAAGCTTGCAAAAAACCACGTTTCTTTGTTGAGCTGTGTCTTGAAGGCAAAAGAGAAAAAAACAAAAACAAAAAGCAACACACACACACACACACACACACACAAAACCTACCCTAGTCTTTTCTGTTTCTAGTTGAGCTGCGTGCGTGAATGCTTCTTTTCTTTTGTTTGTTTATGATGATTTCACTTAACTTTAAAGACATATTTGCACAAAACCTTTGTTTAAAGATCTGCAATATTATATATATATAAATATATATAAAATAAGAGAAACTGTATTGTGAGGGCAGGAGTATTTTTGTATTAGAAGAGGCCTATTAAAAAAAAAAGTTGTTTTCTGAACTAGAAGAGAAAAAAAAATGGCAATTTTTGAGTGCCAACTCAGAAAGCGTGTATTACCTTGTAAAGAAAAAAAAAGTACAAAGCAGGGGTTTAGAGTTATTTATATAAATGTTGAGCTTTTGCACTATTTTTTAATATAAATATGTCAGTGCTTGTCTGATGGAAACTCCTATCATGTCTGTCGAGACTTTTAAGGGAGAAATGTGGAAATTTCACAGTCGGCGTCAGGCAGAGGGCGGGCTCGACACGGAGTTTGGAGAGCTTTCCGGAGGGGCCGCTTTCCTGCGAAGTGGAAGCTTCTGGCTAGCGATAGGTTGTTACCTCGTTATACATTCCCCACCGAAGGAGACAGTTTCCCCCTCTGGGCCAGAACAGCCTTGGGATGGCAAACCCATAGGGAAGTTACCCTAGGCACCAAGTTGCAGGTGGTGGCTTTGCCTTTCCCGAGATGAAAATAAACTTCTGGAAGAATCTTAGTTTTTCCTCCTGTTTTTTTTGTTTTGTTTTTTTAAAGCATGAAGCCTCCCCCCCGCCCCCACCCGTCTCCAGCCGCAGCTGCTCCCCGCACGTGTTGCCGGGGACCCCCCTTCCCCTGGCCCCCCAGAGGGGGCTTGGGTGGCTGCTTTGCCCAGAGCGCTTTGGGGCGATGCGCTGGCTCCAGGATATATCAGCTGAGGTCGGTCGGTGGAGGCCACCGACAGGTCAGAAAGGCCCAGAGTATTAGGAATTTGACCTCGTTCCTGTCTTTCCTCTTTACGTAGCAATTCTCACCTAACAGGCCAACAAACGGAACCCCGGAGATGAAAAAGCGACATGCCCCGATCTCTCCCAGGACATGCAAAAGGGTTAAAACGACAACAACAAAAAAAAAACAGTCGAACCTGTGCTTTTATGTTTTCGAAGCACAATTCGTTACCTTCTGCTCTCCCGCATTTTCGTTCCCTCTCCCCGTGGAAACAATCATGTTCGATGTGCTTATTTATCTGTGTTTTCACAGCCTCTTTAGCAGATACAAGTCTTGTCTACCAGGATTTTCCTGAGTAGGCTGCAGTGTGGCGGGATCCCCTGGTGGTGCGCAGGTGAGGGCGCGTGAGCGGCGCAGGTGTGTGCGCGGTGGCGACAGGCGGGACATGGAGTGGGGGTCCCTGGGGTCGACCAGGGACAGTGGCTGGAGCTGCAGGTTCTTCCTCCCGCTGAGGACTTGTTCACATTCCATGGGGTGATCCCCCAGATGGAAGAGCAGCCCCCCGCCCCCCCCCCCCAAGCCCCTCCGCACGGAGCTGTGTTTTCATTTTGGCAGAACACTAACTAGCAGACTAACATAAGAGGAGGCATCCGGGCAATAACTCTTGTTTTTAAGCAACTTTTTTATTACTTAAACGCCTGAGAACAGTTTTGAGGTTCTGACCATTTGGACTCTATTTCTACGTACCCTTCCCCAACACGGTGACCAAGAGATAAACACGGGGTCTGAGTGGCCGCCGGCCAGCCTGGTGGAAAGTTCTTGTACTTTGACAATAACACCTGCCTCTCCGTGGCGAGGTCGGGGCGGTGGTGGTGGTGGGGGGGGGGTCTTCAGCCTAAACTTTGCTTCTCAAAGAGGATTCTTTTCAGAAGTCGTGCAGAAACATCGGTATTAATTTGTCCTAAAAGGTACAGGGACACATTTATAGATAAAATTTTTAAAAACTGTAGCTTTCCTCTATGTGAAGAGCCTCCCTAGTGCCTTACTGAGGAAGGAGTGCCCTCTTGTCACCAGATGGGGGCATCCCTGGACAGTGACACCAACTCCCCATCCCCACCCCCTCCACCCCTCCGCCCCGGGGACTGACCTTCCCACTCTAGGTCAACAAAGGGCTGCCACTTCTCAAATCTCCCCATCGCCCTGCCCTCCCGTGTCCCACCCACGCACCCACCCACCACCGTCTTGTCAGATGCGGTGTTTGACTCCCATGTGACTTGTAAGCCTAGAAGTGGCCCTGGACTGTGCGGGTCCCCAGGTCTGGAGCCAAGCTGTTGGAATCCCATTGGTTGGTGGTGTGGTCTGCATTTGGGGTGTTTGGAAGGAGGCGGGGGAGTGGCTCCCTGACCTCAGCTGGCTTGAGGGCAGAGCACACCCCTCCGAATGCACCCCAGGATTGCAGTCCAGGGCTCGATGCCACAGCGCCCCTGGCCTTCATGCCCGGCAGATGCCGGTTGCAGAGGCTCAGGGCAGAGCAGCTTGTCCAAGTCGGGACACATCCCCAGAAAACCTGGGGTGTGTGTTTCTGGAAACAGCTAAGCTCTTGGTTTCTCTGCTGGACCCCAGAGCTGGGGGTGCACTCATTCCTCTGGATGTTGGCTGTCGTGCCGTTATCTCTGAAAAGATTCCGAGCACCCCTGAGGAGACCTCCTTTTTCCAGTAAAAAGTCTGGGGGTCCTCAGCTGTGGCTGGTTGGAGGGGGACCAGGTTGGGCTTCCTCTACTCCTCATCGTTTCCCTGCTTGTCCATCACATTTCCTACCCCCCCACCCCCGAGGAAGAAAGAGCATTTCTCCCACAAAGGCCAGGTCTCCGCAGACCAACTTAGGAAGGGGCACTAAGCCATCTCTGTCCCCCCCAAGCCCCGGTGTTCTTTGCAAAGAGCTGAAACTCCCCCCAGCCCACCCCCACCTCCCACCATCTAGCGAACCCCAGGGCAGGGCAAGAACCGAGTCCAATCCCTGTCCTCGTCTCCTCTCTGAATTGTATGTTCCAGAAATCGTTCTCTACACGCACACAAAGCTTCCAGATCCATAAAACATCCTGATGATAAGGAAAAAATAAAAGTGTCTTTGTTTTGTTTATGTTTGTTTGTTTCCTGGAAACTGCGCTTCAAATTCTGCTGTACTATAGAGCCCAGAAGGACACGCGTTCTCGTTTGCCTGCCTGATTCCATGGTGGTGTGCTGATGGCACGCTTTTATGTTGCGTTCTTGGCGTTGGAACCGCTCACCTTTGCAGCCCTGTTTTCCCAAGTTCTGTTCAAGTTAAACTCATGTAAATTCTCCATGGCACGCTGGGTGCGGCGCCCACGTCGCTGCCGCGTAAGACTCTGTATTTGGATGCCAATCCACAGGCCTGATGAAATCGCTTGTTGTGTATCAATAATCATTAGTGGCAATGATGACATTCTGAAAAGCTGCAATACTTATACAATAAATTTTACAATTCTTTGGAACGAGGCTTTTTTACTTCTTTGGCTGCATTGCCTTCCCCAGTCCCCCATCGCTCTCAGCAATGGTCCCAGGGCCCATTTAGTGGGGAGGGAGGGAGCCTGCTGAGCTGCTGGGGGGCCCGAGACCTCTGTTCCAGTTCAAGCAGCATCCCTGGAGCCCAGTGAAAACACTAGCTCAGGCAGGTGGTTCTAACAAAGGGGTTTATTTTTTTTTTAAAGATTCTTTTTTTAAAAGTCTTTATTTTTTTTTTAATTTTTATGATATAGTCACACACAGAGAGAGAGAGAGGCAGAGACATAGGCAGAGGGAGAAGCAGGCTCCATGCACTGGGAGCCTGACGTGGGATTCGATCCCGGGTCTCCAGGATCGCGCCCTGGGCCAAAGGCAGGCGCCAAACCGCTGCGCCACCCAGGGATCCCCTAACAAAGGGGTTTAAAATTAACTCACCTCTTTAAAAAAAAATGAAAAAATAAAAATAAATAAAATTAACTCCTCTCTTTCATTAATTGGGGTTAAAAGAGTTTGTAAGGTGTTAACCTACTTTTCTTCCCTCTTGGAAAAATCAGTGCTAAGGCTCTGATAAGGTCTGCAAGAAAGAAACTGGCCTTACGTGAGTCCCTTCCAGAAGGAAACGCTGAGGCATGGATTTGTAAGAAGGGACGTATGAAGGGAGCGCTCCCAGGGAAGACGGTTAAGGAAACTGGGGAGAGGACAGAGGAGGAAAAACGAAGCAAAGTAGCGACGGGGTTTAGGCAAAGTCCCCGCCACAGCCTGATCCCAAAGATCCCAAAGGGACTGTGGGGAGCTCTGGGGTGTGAGGTGCTTCTGGGTGAGAAGTAGACTCTGAGATGCTCCTGGCTTCTCGGGTGTGAGAGCGCAGCAGTGAGGAGTTCCCCAAGCCCCAGGGTGGCCCTCAGAGATGCTCCCAGGAACCAGCCATTCGCAAGGCCCGTGGAAGCTGGGAAGGGGCGACAGGAGTCTAAAAGGGATCCCCCGGGTTCCGAGTGTGCTCCCCGCAGTGCCCACTACAGAAACTCGCATTTATTTCTCTAAACAGAACCATCTTTGACGTCTGGTCCAGGTGTTTTAAAGATCAGCGCCCCAACAGTTGATTCCCCGGGAATGACCATCCTGCAGCCTCGACCCCACGGTTCTGTAAGCTCTGGGAGTAGAGTCCTATAATCAGGGCAGAATGTGAGGCACACACCGGTCTTGCTTTCTCCCTCTCTGGTGGAGGGAAACCTCAGAGTAAAAAAGAAAAAAGAAAGGAAAATTGATGAGAAACCAAAGGAGCCCATTACTCTGCGGTGTTGTTAGTGGGACCCCACGGTGCGCTCCCCAGCCTGGCTCCAGAGCCCCCCCCCTCCGGCCTCTCATGAGCACCCACTCTCCTGGCTGGCCTGTCACTGTAGAAAGTGTTGCCGCAGTGCCTGTGAGGTTGTCTGAAGGACATCTTGGGTCGAAAAGGAGACCCTCCCCGCTCCTCTGACCTGGCAAGCACATATCACTGAATCGGTCCGGAATAAAGGCGGAAATCGGAATATCTGCTATTTGTTGAGCACCTACTAGGCGCCAAGCACCATGTCAAGGTCTCCACTGAGGTTGGCCGCTTGTCTGGGGAGATCTCATCTCATTCATCTGCCTCTTGGTTTTCTGTTTTTTGGTTTTTAAACACGGTCTCATGCTGGGCTCTGCTGGGGGGGGCAGCGCCTGAAGCCCGACCTCTGACCTCAAGGAACCCACCTTCTGGTGGTCGAGACAGACTCACAGACGCAGCACAGCACAATGCCTCGGGGGCAGGACCCCGTGCTGTCGGGGGGCGGGGAGGCTGGATTCCAGTCCCCCCCCCAGAGGTCAGGGAGGAAAGGGGGGGGGAGAGTGAACCAGGGCCCTGCACGAGCAAAGGCCTGGAGGAGACGGCGGGGCCCCCGCCCTGGAATCGGCTCTTCCTCCGCTAAGCGAGCCAACGCCAGCTCGGGCCCGGGTGTCAGGACTGGGGGTTGCGGATTCTTGCAGCTGAAAAGCAACAGGTGGAGCGGGGCCGGGCGAGGCCACCAGGCTGGATGGGCAACTGTGACGTCACCGAGACGTCTGCCCCCCGCCGTCAGACGCTCTTCCCCTGACGTCCCTCCCGCGCACGTCTCCCTCCCTGGCCGCTCGCCCAGGGGCCCCGGAGCAGGAGGGAAGAAGCCGGCTCCCGACACCCGCAGCCGAAGTCCCAGAATCGAATCCCATTGGCCTGGCTTAGACCACGTGGCCACCTCTGAGCCAATCACTGCGGCCGCGGGGAGGCGCGCCCTGATTGGCCGGGGTTCCGTCACGTGCCCCACCTGGACGGGGGCGGGGCCACCCCGGCGCGGAGGAGGGGAGCGGGAGGGGGGCCGCGAGGGAGGGGCGGGGCCGCGAGGGAGGGGCGGGGCCGCGAGGGAGGGGCGGGGCCGCGAGGGAGGGGGGCTTCGGCGCCAGGACGGTGAGTGGGGGCGGGGAGGGCGGGGGGCCCGGGGCGGGGTCGGCTCGCGCCGCTTCCAGTCGCGGTGATTGCGGGGTTCCCGGGGGACGGCGAGGCCGGGCGGGAGCCGACCCGACCCGCGGAGCCTGGGCCGGATGCGCCGCGCTGCCTTCACCCCTGCTGCCGAGATAACACAAGACCGTAGAGGCTTCGCAAATAATTTGGAACAAATGGTGCATTTGGATGTGCGAGTAAATTTTGAAATAAATATCCACCCGTGTGCGTGTGCGTGTGCGTGTGTGCTGGCACCCGCCGTCCTCCCCTCCAGGCCCTCGCCCCCTCCCTCCAGGCCCTTGACCCCCCTCCCCTCCCTCCAGGCCCTCACCCCCTCCCCTGCCTCCAGGTCCTCACCCCCCTCTCCTCCCTCCAGGCCCTTGACCCCCCTCCCCCGCCTCCAGGTCCTCACCCCCTCTCCTCCCTCCAGGCCCTTGACCCCCCTCCCCTCCCTCCAGGCCCTCACCCCCCTCCCCTCCCTCCAGGCCCTTGACCCCCCTCCCCTCCCTCCAGGCCCTCACCCCCCTCCCCTCCCTCCAGGCCCTCACCCCCCTCCCCTCCCTCCAGGCCCTTGACCCCCCCTCCCCTCCCTCCAGGTATTCACCCCCCTCCCCTCCTTCCAGGCCCTCACCCCCCTTCCCTCCCTCCAGGCCCTCACCCCCCTCCACTCCCTCCAGGCCCTTGACCCCCCTCCCCTCCCTCCAGGCCCTCACCCCCCTCCCCTCCCTCCAGGCCCTCACCCCCTCCCCTCCCTCCAGGCCCTTGACCCCCCTCCCCTCCCTCCAGGCCCTCACCCCCCTCCCCTCCCTCCAGGCCCTCACCCCCTCCCCTCCCTCCAGGCCCTTGACCCCCCTCCCCTCCCTCCAGGCCCTCACCCCCCTCCCCTCCCTCCAGGCCCTTGACCCCCCTCCCCTCCCTCCAGGTATTCACCCCCTCCCCTCCTTCCAGGCCCTCACCCCCTTCCCTCCCTCCAGGCCCTCACCCCCCTCCACTCCCTCCCTCAGGGTCCCCACCTCAGCATAACTGATAAGCCTGGAAGTGGGGGCCCGAAATCATGATGTTCATCTTATTAAAAGGCTTTTATTGAACTCAAAATAATTAAATTTGCCTTTAAAAGCATCCAACTTAATTGAGTGAACAAGTTTTAAGATGAAATTTTAAAATTCATAGTTAGACTCCAGCCTGCTTGTTATAGACATGGGCAGATGCAGGCGAAGAGGCAAAGCATGGAGTCAGGGCTCCGTGGTCGTTTGGTCGTGGTCATTTGATCTGGATTCAAATCCTCCTCTGTCCCCTTTCTGGCCAGTTAACCCCTCGGACCTCAGTTCCTGAGAAGAGGAAGGTGTGCAGAGAGCAGTAGGAAATGTCACCCAGGCCCCACCCATATTGCCTTGGCCCTTTTCACTTCTGTCCACATGGGCCCAACTTCTATCTAAAAGCACTTGTGTCCTGCTGCCTGAGGTTTCCTCTGGCTTCTGGAAGCTTCTCTGCTTGTTATGTAGCAGACCAGAAGTGCGGGGAACTGATGCCATTGGGAGCAGCCTCTACGGGTGATGGGAGTAGGGGATCAACACCCCAGTTCCTTCGCCTTTGGCTGGGGGCGGGGTGAGCAGGCCCTCAGATGATTCTCCGCAGGCTCCCAGTGTTCCTGTGAGCTTGAGGCACCGAGCACCGAGCCCCGAGACCCACTGAGGTCACTTGCCTGATGGCACAGCCCCGAGGAGCTGCCCACCTCCTCACTGCCCTCCCAGCATTTCCTGGCATCACCTTCCAAATAAACGGCTTGCACTCTGATCTCTGCCTCCGGGCGTGCTTCTGGGGCCCCCAGCCTCAGACCGGACGTGCAGTGGTGGTCAGCAAAGTGAGAGATCAGAGCCCCTCACGGGGCAGAGGGCACAGGTGGGCTCGTGTGTGTGCGTGTGTGTAAGTACATGCGTGTGCACGGGCATGTGGGTTCAGGGCTGTGTGCACCTGTTTGGCTTTTTTTTTTTTTAACCCAATATATCCAAAATATCATTTCTACACGGAATCGGTATAAAAATTGTTAATGAGAAAAAAATCTTTCAGGTGTTGGACTGTCTTCCAACTTGCCAGGTTTCACGCCCCTGAGTACTCAGCACGGTGCCCTGCTTATCTGGGCCCTGGTATGCACTGAATGCCTGTGCCCTCCTAAGTCCATACACTGAAACCCTATCCACCCCACACGGCGGTATTAGGGGGTGGGGGCCGCAGTGGGACCAGCACCCTGTAAGAGTCACAGGGCTTGGGGATCCCTGGGTGGCGCAGCGGTTTAGCACCTGCCTTTGGCCCAGGGCACGATCCTGGAGACCCGGGATCGAGTCCCACATCAGGCTCCCGGTGCATGGAGCCTGCTTCTCCCTCTGCCTGTGTTTCTGCCTCTCTCTCTCTCTCTCTGTGACTATCATACATAAATAAATAAAAAATTAAAAAAAAAAAAGAAAAACCCTTAAAAAAAAAAAAAAGATAGAGACGGCTTGC